GCTTGTATAGACGCTTAAAAATGCTAAAACTTAATTTTCATTGAGAAAACAGTAGCAACGACGTTTTAAAGTCATTTTTGGATCGTCTAGAACTTCAAAAAGCTCTTTAAAGCTTATTCACACGCTTAAAGCCACCAAAATTGAGCCCACATCACCCTGACACCCGTTATGCGTAGCGGGCAACAATTGTGTTTGCTCTGTTCGCCTTAGCATCCGCTTCTCCGCCTCTTAGTTGTGTTCCAGAGCCGTGTGGCTGGCTGTACCGTGGGTGCTGCTTGGTTGGTTGTGTGTGGGCTGACGTCAACTCGACGCGACCACCCCAGAAACTGTCTGCCGCCACCTACCCCCTTTTCCCCCCTTAGATCAATGCTTTTCCTCGTCTATTTCTCCTGTTCTGCTTCTTCTTTTTCGACTTCTTGTGGTGCCGGGGGTGAAGGCTTCTTCTTCTTCTTCTTCTCAGGGCTGCTCATCATGTTTGTCGTCAAGGGAACGGTCTTATGACTGTGTCCCAATGTTTTACAAAAAGTTTGGGTTTCTATAATTATAGGGGCGGGGGCGGAAGTGGTGGTTTAAGTTTTGAAAGGTTTCACATCTCCGTTATCCATTTTTAAATTTTTCGTAGTGTATGGCCTTTCATTCACGCCATTTTATTCAAATTTTTTATTATCTTTTTGAGATCTGGATTATTTAGATAGCGGTGTTTTTAACTATACAAGCAATCCCATGATTTTCTTTTTCATTTTCATATTTTTTAAAACTTCAAAACCCTTAAATTATGCCCCCAAATACTTTTTACGTATTTTTTGTACCTATTTTTTAGCCCTTCTAAAACTCCCACTCATCGGCATATAACCCATTTCTTTTGATCCCCATCCCAATTTAACTCTAACCCCAGACGGCAACACAGACAAATTGCCCGCTTCGCAACCCCCATAGCTGCCCTTATGCTAATGAAAAGCCCCCGCGTGACAGAGCGCATCTTTTTCAGAATATCCCTCTTCACTTTTCTCTTGTTTTCCCTAAATGAGAGCCAGGGTGTGAAAAAATTGCACGCTTTTTTATGGGCCCACGAAATTCGATCCATACCCTGGGCCCTGGCCGCCCGGGCCCCAGGAAGGCATTTTCGTGATTGCCCAGCGTGGCATCTAGATCTGCAGGTTCATGTCGGGCGCCCTTAGAGCCTTTTTCCGCCCTGTGGTTTTTGTGGGAATGGCCAATTGCTAACCTCTAAACGACCGGACGCGATTTTTAATTCGTTTTATCGGCATTCGGAGCGACAGTGGGGTGCGCCGGGTTGCGTTATCAGCTGAGGGGTGACGGGGTACTCGGGCCGGGGGGAATTCTGTGAATCAATCGACTATCCGGAAGACCATTTTTAGTTTTCAAAAGTTAGAATTTTATACGGAAAAGGCTTTAATTTAGTATATGTAGCGCTTTGAAAACATTATGTATCTTCAATTTCAGCTTTTTGCATTTTATTTTGCATGAAAAATTGCCTGCAACTTACTTCCGGTTAAAAGTGAAAAACCTGATTTACAGGGACAGCCTGGGAGTGATTTTATTTTTTATTAAAAGCGGTATATTCACGCGCATTCTCCGATTTCTATAACCTAATCTATTTTATTTTTTATTAAAATCCTCAGATTATGCGTACTTTCTAAAACCTGCCAATCTCGTCCCCCAATCTTAATTGCTACCCCCCATCTCCTCGCAGCAGGTTACGTTGGAAACGAGACATTTCGCAGGTTTTTTTCGACGCAAACGGATTAGACCCCCCAAATCACCGGCACATCCCAACCAACCGAATAAATCTGCACCCCTCCCAAATTTCCGTCCAACAAAACCAAGCCGTTCATCCGTAATTACCGGAAATTAGTCTACCCGCCCTGATTTCCGAAGTTTGTAAAAACCACCGTAGCCAGACGGCCTTTTACTGTAGGGATTCCAGTGAATTTAATGCAAAAGATGATGGGAGGGTGGATTTTAGCGGGCTAGCCGGCCTAGGTGACTTTCGGCGGGGCGGTTTACGCAAGTGCCAAAGTGGCCGCTGACGGATTGGAGAATGGGGTGGAGAGAACGGATTAAAATGGCGCTCCATAATATCATCCCTTCATTCAGCCCCCCTACTTCCAACTATATTTTAAGAATTTTGGATTTGAGGCGTTGGAAGGTCACGAATCTCTGGTTTCCCATCGTGCAAGAAATTCTGGTCGGGACGCCACCGATTTTCAATGTTTCACTCGGTTTATTCGCATTTTGATGGGAGCGTGGGAGAAAATGGATTTCTAGGGGGGAAGGGCTTTCGATAATTCGTTTCTTGCGATGCTATCGATAGGGTTATTTTGTCTGGAAAGGCCGGGGCGGTCGTTGGCAAATATGAGATGGGGTGTAGGAGATAAGGGTTTGTTAGGGGATGGCGGATAGGTTGATTTTATTCTTACGATTTTTATGGGAAAAGGCTAGGCTGAGGCTTAGCCTTAAGCTTTGGTGCGTATAAAAGTCTGAGTTCCGCTGACCTTTCTCATTACCTTTGGCCTTTTCAAAACAGGTGAAATTCAAGAACACGAAGTACAGCCCCAAAAAACAAAGCCAAACATCCCAAAAACCTAATTTTTCCGTTAATAATAAATTTATAGTTCCTGAAGTTTTAGTTAGACCCTAAACCGATTTTTACAATTAATTAATATATGCTAATTGCGCTCGCTAATATACTCTCCAGGTCTAGACTGATCTTGTCTATCTAGGCCCCAGCGTTGCGCGTGGCCTTTCGTGTTTGTACTCTCTGTCTGTCTGTCTGTCTGTGCCGTCTGTCCCTCTGTCTACCTATATATCTTCTATCTATATGTCTGTCTGTCCTCCCGGACGGTGCCTGTGGCTATTTGGTGGGAATGGTGCTTTCGCCTGACCCCCCGCGCGAGCCCCCTAGCCCTAAAGGTCACCCCGCCGCGATCGCCGCGGGATTCCTCCACTAGTCGCAACGTTATGCTGTGTACCTTATGCAAAAAAGTGAATTTTAATGCACCGCATGCTAATTAGGCTTGAAAAATTAGAAAATACAGTTAAAAATCGTGAAACTTCTACGATGCATACTTCCAATTATTGCTTCGATTTGAAAAAAAATATTTTCAAGATGCCTCCGTTAATCGCTATGTTGTGTACTTTTGCAAAAAAGTGTATTTTATGTAGTAATGCTAATTACACTTTCAAAGCTAAATAACACACTTAGAACACGTAATTTGCATAATTTGCATCTCTGCAATTATTGCCTTAATTTTGCAAAGGCGAAAGTCCTCAAAGTATCAGCAATATGTTCGTAGCTTTTGTCAAATTACAACCTTAAAAAACGACTGTCTAGCGTAATCTGCGTGATTACGTACTTGCAATTATTTTTCATCAACTTTGCCTCAATTATCCTAAATTTCATCTTATCGTCAAAATACGTCCCTTCACATTTTTCCCCACTACCCTTTCCATGCTATTTAATGGCTTCCTCCGAAATCCTGAATTTCATTAGAGCACCATATAAACTATTCATTGCATCCATCGCAAATTACCGAATGCAAACCCAGACTCCTCCCGCGAAATTGATTTTCCCCGAGATTCAGACGGGTTTCAATTTTTCAATTTTTCACTTTCTCGAAATGTTATTATCCCGGGCGGCTACTTTGCACCTGTTTACCCCAACTTTTTCCTGGTGATCCATTCCACCCCAGGGGCCCGATTCCACAAATCTCGGTATCCACCCCTTAATCTTCTAATTCCGGTCGTAGATCTCGTTAATCCGCCCGCCCGGGCCCCCACCTTATTTCGGAGGGGCCATCTTCTTGCCTTTTTCGGGGGTTTTGTGCTGATTTGGCGGGTTTCAAAGTTGGCATTTCCATCACCCATCACTTTGAAAACGCCGCATTTTTGCTCCCGTGTTCTGCCTACACCCGAAGATTTTGATTCGGCGGTCAAAGGGGGTGCCGATTCACGGATGACGCTTGCCATTTCTTGCCCCCGTCAAAGTGTTCCCCGCACTTTACTGCTAAAACAAAATGACCTACTGTGTCGCGTGGTTTTTGCTGTAATTTTCGTTTTTCTATTTGCTTTAATTTATAGTTATTATGCCAATTCCAAAATTTAGATTCTGCCTGTAACGGCCATCGGGCGGTCGGCGCCATCACTGGTGCTGACACCATCTCCATCGGTTTCATCTACTGGTAGGTTTTGGATTTGGGACGGAGGTGAGAGGGGCAGAAAAATGATTCAGAACGATTTTAAATGCAATTTTTCTTTTTTAAGGATTTTAACTATGAAAAATAACATTCTTTTTAGGTTCGTCGTCGCTCTCATCACCTCCAACCCTGTTGCTGTCCCCGCAACTCCTCTCGCTGATGTCAGTGGCGGCCACATCTTCTAGTCAAGATGGGTCTCCACCCGCGCCTGACGTAATTTTTTATATATTTTCCTATTAATAGCCCACCCCGTTTTCAAACCCAAAACCAAATCCTTCCGGAACAAAACTCAAGCTTCTTCCCCCTCAAAATTCCCCGAAAACCCACCGAACCCGAAAAGAAATGCCAGCAAAACCTTCCCAACAAAAGCGACCATATTTTATTCGATTCATGTATGATTTCCCCCGGCCGTGACGCATCGATTTGGTTTCGTAAAGTTTTTTGCGCCGGCCCGGAAAACCATAGGCCCGGGCCCTCCCGAAACAGTGACCATTCCCTGCCCCGATCGTCTCGACAAACCCAAGATCGATATGACCTCTACATGGGTCTTGCCATAGCTTCATCCAGGAGATTTCCATTTGACCGTGGCCAGCCGTTTTGCCCCCCTTCCGTCTTCCTTCCCCACCTCAACCCACGCCCCCCCCCTCTCCGGTCTTGAAAAGCTGCTAATTGAACAAAGGGAACGACGCGCTAGAACGCGAGGCCAAATCACCTTTTCCCAGGGCTCTAATATTCCTGGATTCAAATTGTGCTATCCTCAAAGGCACTGTATTTTGGTGCGAAATGGAATATTTGGCTTTTATTCACGATCCGTTGACGCTCTACTATTTACAAGTAGGAATAATTAAAAATTATCCTTAAGAAATTAGGTTAGCTCCTTTCGGTTAATTTAAAAGATAGTGGAAGATAAAATCGGTAATTTTGTCTTCAAATTCAAAATTTTTGTTTTAATATTAGTCCCATTTCCGAGTTTTTAGGGAATATACGGTATTTTAAATCGTAGGAATTATGAAGGGTTCTGGATCATCAACTTTTTGCCCTAAAAAGCGCTGTATTTTGCTGCAGAATCCAATATTAAAGAGTACGAATACTACCTATCTACTACTACCAAGTTCGCCCCTGAAAAACATTGTGTACATTAGATCCCACCCTCATATCAGCACACCCAATGAAGCAAACAAAAAACCTGGGACTCCCCCTCCCCGTTATTTTGACGCGTTCTCTCCCCCATTTTGTCCAAAGAATAGTATCATCACCATCCAGCGCCCCAGCCAACCCAACCCAACTTATCATTTACCCCCCATTCGAGAGAATTTTCGTGACGTCAGGCCGCGGGGTGTAGATCACATAGAGACATACAGCGACACTGCCCCCGATCCACCCATCAACCCATCCCCCTTTCCCCCTATAACTGTCAGCAAAATATTTGGCTTTTTTTTACAGAAATTCGTGACAACAAGTAGCGGCGACTCGCTGAAATCATCGCCGCAAAACATCTTGGTCACGCCGACGCTTGGAGGTAGGGGCGGAAGATGTCACACGGTTATTTGCGGCGATTTGCAGACTTTCCGACGACGGCTGAGATCATGCAAAAGTGCTTGGCCGTCAACCCGTTCGAGCTGAAGTTTAAGGAGGCCAACCAGAGGTATTGATTTTGGGTTTAAGGGGTTAAGATAAGGGAAGCTGTCCACTTAATCGATGCCTTCCTATACTTAAACAGTCCTCTAAAAAGCTCTAATTTTTATTGGGGTTTCATAAAACCTAGAAAAGGGAGCTGGGCTAGCATGTTGGTTTTTCTGTTGCCTATTTCCGGTTTTTAGAGGGCTTTTAAGCTTCTTGTCTCGTAGCTCTCACATCAAGAACACCTTCATAACTTTTTTCTGTACCGTAACGTAGTAAAAATTGTCTAAATCGTGCCTTCTTAGTACCTTTAATTTATTTTCAAATTTTAAGCTTCTTTCTCCCAAAAATTATTATTTCAAACCCTAAGTTCTCGAAAATCTTGAGCCCATACCCCGCCTGACCACCTCGATTTCAGGGTACAGTAACCAGGTAACTCCACCAAAATGCATTTTCGAGACCCCCCCCGGGCTACACTATTTTGTATCCCAATTATCTTCCCGGAACCACGGACAGCAAAAACTCTGCCCAAACCCAGACCGACCCCAGGGGCCAAATACAAATTTTTTTATTGGCCCCACCCCCACACCCCCAAACCTCCAATGCAAAAACCACAAGATCAACTACAATTTCCGTGAATTTACAGGCTGGGCGCGGCCGGGACGTCACAGGAACTGCTGGAACAAAACGGACTCGTCCCAAAGATTTCCATCGACACCCCCTCAGGTGGGACACCCCGGCTTCTCACTGCCCCTAATTTCCGGGGATCATTTGCCCCCTACCAATTTCCTGCCCCCTAAAACTCACATACAGCTAGTTATTCCATTGAAAATTAAATATTGGCCCTTGATTGCCGCGGGCTACGTTGCAGCAACAACAAATTTCCGGTGCCTGCCGGCTCGGCTCTCCGGGTTGTTGGCAAAGAAAGTGTCGGGATTCATAATTCGGCAAAAATGTTCGTCCCGGGCAGCGAGGGCTCTAGCCAATTCAAACCTTTTATAAGGCCCACCGTATTAGTACGATCACAAAGTTTGCAGGAATGTAAGTTGGTGTAAAATCGGTAAAAACTACTGGATAATTCAAGCGTTAATATCAAGTATCTCTTTCAGTCTCGGCTTTGATGAAATCCCCAATCTTCCCATCGATCTCAATGCTCTCCGACAGCGACTTGAAGACCTCAGACTTTTCGAAACTGGTGCAACAGGTTTGAATTTATTTTTTGGTTTATATATCTGAAAATTCAGATGAAAGAACATGGAGGCTTATCAACCCAACAATCACTCGATGTCGGAGCAGGCCCCCGAACGGCTGATGTCCTAAACACGGTCCTCGATATGCATCACGATCTGTCATCTACTTCCCTCAACATCTTCAATCATATTATGCCCCAAATGTGAGTCAAATCTTTCCATAGAGTTTTGCTTCAAGGGTTTTCAGTGGGCAAAGCCTCTTCACGACGCTGGCAACGCCAAATGGGTCTGCCCCGAATTCGGCCGGAATTCTGGGGCTCCCCATTCCGCAAGCGACTTCGCCACGATCGGTTCGGTTTTATCTTATCGTAGCTTGTCTTGTCTAGCCTAGAAAGCGTTCAAACAAGAAACCTTTCAATTTTCTAGATCGCCGCCGCCCTGGCTGCCGTCGCTTCGACGAGTGCCGCCGCCGGTCTCGCCCCACCAGCCGTCTCGATCTCATCAGCTAGCCCCCAGCACTCTCCCCGGAATCAACTCAACAACACGTAAGCCACTGCTCCGAAACAACAACATAAGCAGCCATTACAGGAACCAACTCCGCTCCCCTCAGCCGGACATTGCTTCTGCGGTTAGTGCCGCTGTCCAGGCGTCAAACGCCCAGAACGGCAGCAATCTGCTCGGTGCCCTACATGTCGATTCGTCTTGGGACCCGCGGGATGTGAAGCCGGCTTTGGGACAAGGTCTTGCAGCGAGTAAGATAACGCCGCAGCTGACGCCCCGTTCGGACTTCTACAATAGCGGAGAGGACTTTGGTCCTGGGGCGAGCAATGGGTATGATCACAATCCGAGGAGGTGAGTGTTTCCTGAATTTTTTAGAACAGCTGAAGACGTATGTAAAGATGAAAATTACCTTTTTGTTATAGTAATGAGTCGGAAGTCTCGTCAAACTGCGGAAGTCAGCAAGGGCTGGCGACTACTACTCCTGGACGTGGACGCGGTCGTGGCAGGACCACCACTGCGGATATGCCACCAGATGAGCGCCGCTTGACAATTCTGGAGCGAAATAAGGCAGCAGCTGTTCGATATCGGTACTAAAATTAACCAGAAAATGTATATCTTGTCGTTTTAGTAAACGAAAGAAGGAGGAACACGATGAAATGATTGGACGCGTCCATGTCCTCGAACAAGAAAAGAACCAAATTGCTGTAAGAGAATTATGTCTATAACCATAGTCCCAGAACATTCAGACGCAAAACCAGGTCCTACGCCGAGAACTGGACCGAGTTACGGCTCTCCTCAAGGAGCGCGAGACGCGATGTGTCTGCCTCCACGGGCTTCCACTCTCCTCCGATCTGGGACTTGGGGTAACATCCAATCTTTTTTATCTTAAAAATTATTCTAGGCTGACCTACAAAACCCCAACTTCCTCCACCAGCAAAATCTCATGCAAGCAGCAATGGGTGGCCTGAAGCGAACCAAAATGTAGAACAATTTCTACGAAACCTCGAATTAATTATTATGATTATTTCCAAAAACCTTTCCGGTGATCATTCCCCCCACTATCAGGTACCACAACCATTTTTCGCTATTTTTTTGGTCCCAATCACGCAAAATTGCCCCCCCGCCACATTACTTCGCTAGTGAATATTGACTTTCCCAAAAATTACGGCTACTGTATCCCCGGCAGCCAACCAAATTCACAAAATATGCAGCTACTCCATCCCCATATGCACCTCAGTGATGAGCCGATCATGTCACCAAAATTATTCTTTTTCAGTCTTAAATTGCTAAATTAAGTCAATTTAATTCAATTAATTAAATTTACATACTCGTTTCTGTCTTGCCACCTTTAATTTCTCAAAAAATGGTCCCCCCCTCATTTCTCTACAGCTGTACATACCAAAGCCGTGGTGAGCCGTGCTCCAGTGTCCCAGCTGATAGGTCCCGCGTCGTAACGTCGCAAAATTTGAATCTCATCTTAAGGGATGGTATAGGTATCACAAAATTAATTGAATACCTCTAAATACCTATTCGATCCAAAAATTGGCACCTCTACCACTTGCACGTCTCCCAAATCCCACTCCCGTCCCCCTTTTTGAGCGCCATTTCCGGGGAGTCCGATGTGCGTTGACGCGCATATCACCTTTAAAACATACTATATATATTATTCCAAAACTCCAAAATGTTGCCATTTAATTTTGCGCCCCTCAAAATGTTAGGTTCAAGGTTGTCGCCCCTTCATTACTCCCCCAAAATATTATTATGCTGTGGTTGTGCATGCTCCCCCGAATTTAAATATGTAATCTACCATTCAATTTCTTCAAAAACCATCTAGTCAAGTTAGAATGACACTAACATGTCTATTAATGCCCACATACACCTTCAAAATCAAACCCAAGCCCTCGCATTTTCGTCGTACATCTTATTATTCCGCTGTGACATCTCATTCTTATAGATTCTTCCCCTTTTTTGCCCTCCCACATTGATCATTTGAGCGATTTCAAGCGACATATTTCTATTTTGATAAAGTGAATTCTTAATTTTTTGACTTCTTCAAGTGCACAGAATGGCAAGACTAGACGGAAAACTAGAGTTTGGGCCGGGCAATAGGATTATTCAACCAAAGAGATAGCGCTCAAAAGTTTTTCGCAAAATGAGGCTGCTCTACATATTTCTAGTCCATTTTTCAACAATATTCTATGCTAATAAGAATTGCGAAAAGGGAAATGTTTTTATCAAAGAGCTAGAGGCCTGCTTTCTGTTCGTTGATGACGGTAGTTTCCCATATTGTAGCATTTTCCCCCGCCAATTTCAGCGGCCGCTTATGAAGCGGCTGAGTCACAATGCAATGCTTCCAGCGGGCACCTAATTTCGATACATAATGCTTTTGAGAATAATTTGATGGCACAGTATGCCGATCAGGGTTTGAAAAAAATCATGCAAAAAAGAATTGGAAAAATTTAGACATGAGGAGTACTCGAGTTTTGCTAGGATTACAGAAGTCTCCAAGCGGCGTTTGGAGTTGGTCTGACAATACAACTGCTAATTATTTTAAATGGGCAAATGGTTAGGCTTAGGCTGATGCTCAAAACTACTGAGAGTAAAGATACTGTAATTTGCACCTAGGTGAGCCGGGCTCGAAAAGCTGTGCATATCTAGATATCCTCGATCGCTCTTGGTATGGCCAAGACTGCGATACCATAACCCCATTCGTATGCAAAATTCCGGGTTAGTCCTCCTTTCGTCTTTATCATTTTCTATTACAGTAATCCCACCCTGCAAGCCCGGCTGGGTGTACTGGAATGTCACCAAAATGTGTTACTACGTGGGATTACTGTATTTTTACGTCGACTAAAAACATTTTAGCATGGTAAGAACTCCTCCTTCCAACAAGCCCTCGGATTTTGTGGCTATAACTCTGGCTCGGTCACCTCGGTGCATAGCGATCAGGAAAATGATTTTATTAAGAGTTAAATCAATTTCAGGGCTTATAGAACGCATTTTAGATCTTGTTTGGGTGCCAGAATGCATCCAAATGGGTCGATGGTTTAGTGGTTTGACAATGTTGGGCGGTACTTGGGACCAGGCCAGTGAGCTTATAAAAAATTCCACAAAACCATGCTGTTTTCCGGAAACCACACCGCTGGGTGGTTTGATCAGAGTCCAAATAATTATTCGCAAATGGTATGCACCGGTGGTGGGCTGAGCTTGCTTACGGTAATCTAGCAACTAATTTTTTACATATACCTTTTCATTCGTGTTGCCTAACAAATTTATTAAATTATGTAGATGAACGCGTTCCCATCATCTTGCAATGGCTGTGGTGATGGCGTCTGGACCATGTACGGCTTCGATCGGATCAACGAAAAACTGCCCGATTTTGTTTGCAAGGCCCCATCATATGTGTAATAAATAAAGGTGGCAGCGGGGAGGCGTCGAAATTTGCATAGCAATTTGCATGGGGCGCAGATTATCACTTTTTCCGTCGAGTGGCTGAGGCGGTGCTTATGATGGGGGTGGCTCTTGAAGTGGCGTTCTGAGGACCCGGGAACAAGCATTCCGCATGGCCCTAAGGGTCGTTTGAAGGTCCAATTATAGTTGTTTCAATCGCAAATTTGCATCTTTGAAGTTGAAAATGCCGAAAAATCTGTTTTTGGAACCCAAAAAGATGTAAATTTTGTAAAAAATGGGTTTTTTCGATACTCGAGGATAGACGTCGCAAAGAGGATTTTTTCGTACTATTCCATCCTATTGGAACACTTCCAGTTTTGCATCTATTCCTCCCATATGTTCGTTTCCTATATTGTCAACGGGGGGACGCATTCAATCTGTCCGGAATGTGTTATGTTTGCGGGTGGCGTGCATCCCATTTTTGGCAGGGTCAACAGATTGTGTATTTTTTTGGGGCATGGGATTTTGATAGGATTAAATTTTTTAGTATATATCCTATATATTTTAGTATCGTTGCCCTTAACCCCCCTTAAAATATCGATGTCGAGGATGTCGATGAACGAGTCGATGACGTACAATCGCCAAAGACGCGCTCCTTAAGCGCTTGATCGTCGCATATGAAAGACCGGGCGGAAGTGTTTGTGGGTAGGGCTGGACTGACTGTAGGGAGGCTGGCACCTGTCTCAATAGGCGATTCCCCGGGGCTTTGTGTCGCGAGTCCAGTAGATAAACATTCACCCTTCGCGATGCATATCCACCCCAGTACCCAAACTCGGGAGGGGCACCCTCGCTTCCCGGGCTAACTTTCAACTCCCCCCCCCCCTTTTCCCGCAACACTATCCGGTTTCAGCACCTCACGCGTTGGCGCGAAATTCCGGTGCATAGTGATAGTATTTGGGATTAATGGCATTGGGGGGGAGGTGAGTCTATTGCCCCCGACGGACTGTGTATCGTTCCCGGGCCATTCAGCGTTCCATGAGAAATTCAGGCTGTAGATTTTGATTTTTTAGAGCCTGACAACGGTAGTTGCCCCACTACAATTCCAAATTTCTTTTGCTCACCTGCTTTTTCATTGCTTAATGTGCCTTTTAAGAAACATACCTAACGATCCGATGATATACAAAAAAAATCGGGAAAAGTCCACCTCTCAATGTTTTGAAACCTAGTTACAGTACAATTTTATACTCTTTATGTCCGTAGTCACACGGGCCTCAGCATTACGATTCCATACTCTTGACACCTCACTATTTGTATACTATTTTGATGTGCCAGTCGCAAAGCGAACGCCCCAAGCACTTTTCGCTGGAAAAGGGCCAAGCTTGAAGCAACCAATGAGAAATAAACAGTATTGAGCTTGGCCCCCACATTCCAGCCAATCTGCCCCCTCACACACATTCTTTATAGCCGTCCCATTCGAATAATCGTGTGCTAGCGGGCCCTTTGGCCGGCTGGGAAACGGTATCCCCCGCGCGAGCGCGTGGCGGCTATTATTTTCGCCGGCCCTGGCCGCTGCCAAACTATGTGTTATCTCGCATTTTGGGAATTTCGTTCCTAAACAATGGTCATCGTTGACCCTATGCTCTGCCCGGGGAAACATCAATAAAAATAGGGGGGTTGCTGTTTAGAAATTCGATAGGGTTGACTGCCGAGTGGCACTTCGCAACTGAAACCATGTGCATTTGAATCAGAATCTGGGGCTTGTCAAGGTTATGCTTCCCAAAATTTGAAGTTTTTATGATAATTCCCTTGAAAACCAAGTTTTGCAGTTTAAAAAAAATGGTGCTTGGATGGTTTTTGGGACTTAAGGAAAGGAAGAAAAGTACTTGCAAATGCAAAATGCATATATTTGTTTATTTTATATTTATGTATATTTACAGTTATATAGCGTTTTTGCATACTTGAAAACGATAAAAAATGCTATTTAAAGTTTTTCGCACTTTTTTGGTCAATTAAAGGTGTATATTGATGATTTAACGTCCGAAAACTTAAAAAAATAACGGTGCCTTATTTGAACTCTTATTTGTTTTTTTAAGCTTTTGACGCATGCTGAAATTCCCTTGTTTGTTTCACGATTTTTTTAGTAAGTCGAGACCACCAAAAAAATATCATCCAAATTTGCATTTCCGCTTGTCAATCCTCGGGCTCACCTCCACTCGGGTGGTCTCCCCCAACTTACAGATGGCTATCTAAAGAACCATTCATCCGCTTCCGATCAGATGGTGCACCCTTTTCTGCCCCCAGGCCATTTATCTTGCCCGCCCTTTGTCCTTGTTCCACCTGAGGAGCAGCAGCCCCCCCCCCCGGATTTCTTGAAGATATTTGCATCCAAACTTTTTCTTCTTCTTTTTTCCTTTATTCTGTTTTTCTGCCAATCCAATCTCAGGATATCCCCCAATCTAGACATATCCTTTTTTACCGCACTCCCCTTATTTGTTTATTTATGGCCGGATATTCTGGGATTGTTTCTGCTCTCCCTGGCGACTAATGGCATCCAGCATGCGCAAAGGTATCCGCTTACATGGTTGTTCACAG